GACCACATTCTTCTTAGTAAAGTATCACAAGAATGGAGAAGCAAGAATCCAATATACTCAATTCTAATATGAAGGCAGTAGATGACCTAATATAAGAGGTGGGGTAGGGGAATGAAGGATCAGGGAGAGAGACAGGGGTTGTGGTGTATGGCACACTTCTTGGGGGTGGGACACAATTACAAGAGGGACTTTACCTAACAACCTCAATCAGTGTAAACCTAATTCTTTGTACCCTCAATGAATCCCAAAAAATAAAATAAAATATAACAAAAACCTAAATGACTGATGTCCTTATAAGATAATGAATATTCAAACACAGACACACAAACACATATTGAGGAGTGTACCATGTGAAGACAGAGGCAGAATCTGGAATTGTGTTGCCAGCAACCTGCAGCAGCTCAAAGAGAGGTGTGGGTTAGTTCCTCCCTCTGAGTCCCCAAGAAGGAACTAACCTTCGAAATACCTTGACTCTGAACATCCAGCCTCCACAACTGAGAAGGAATACATATCTTTTGTTTTAAGCAACGTGGTTTATCAGTATTTGTTATGGCAGACCCAGGAAACTAATACACCATGCAAGACATGAAGAAACTGGCAGAGGAGATACTTGCACAGGAATCTTGCAAATGAGTGGCAGAAACAGGTGGAAAAAAAGACTGACTCTTGCACTCTGACTACCCATCTTTCTGCCCGGAGTGCTAAGAGATCACAAATCTTCCCATTCCAATATACATGGAGCATGAGCCTTTAATAGAAACTTTTTATACACTAAAAATCTATCCCATTCCTCTCCTATATTTTCTTCTCAATGAATGGTACCACCACACATATAAAATACCAGTGAGGAATCTGGGTATTCTTGACAACTCTCTCCGCAACCTGCCTTCTTCCCACCACACATCCATTCTCATCAAGCCCTAAACAATTCTCTCTTAAATATCAGTAACATCTTTCTACTTTTCTTCATCTCTACGCTACCACTCATGTTCCACCTAACACATCTTCTCTTAGTCTGTCAAAGTAGCCTTGTAATTGGTCATCCTTAATTCATTCTTGGTTTTCTCTAATCTGTGTTGGGCAATTAAAGTAGAATGATTTAAGATTGTTTTGAAAGGCAAAATTAATCATGACATTCTTTTAAAAATCCTTCAAAGTTTCCAATTGCTGTTGCAGGAAAGACCAAAATCCTGAAGATCTAAAAAGCCCTGCAGTGTCTGGCCTTTCTGAATTCTGCAGTTTTCCCTTGTTCTACTCTAGGCTTTGTTCTCCACCCATCCTGGACATTCTCTAATACCATAAATATGTCATCATTACTCTTTCATCTTTCAGACCTACATATTCTCTTCCTTTTGTGTGGGATACTCTTTACTGTACTTTTTCATCATGTAATTTCTATTCTTAAGATCTTGGCTTAGAAGTCAATTGCTCATAAAAGTCTTCCCATTCTCACAAGATTACCTTAGATCTGTTGTTAAGTGCTCTGTAATTTTTTTCCTTAGACTTTCATAATTTGTCTTGACAGCACTTAACCACAGTAACACTTTCTTTCTACCTGTCATCAATTTATCTATCTATCTATCTCTATTTATCTATCTGAGGTGATTATTGGTTAATATTTGTTTCCCACTTTAGACCAGAAATGCCATGGGTTCTCCGACTGTATGAGGCATAGAACATGACATATAGTATGCATTCAATAAATATTTGTTGAATGAGTAAATGAACAAATTAATATGATCGGATAAAAGTAGAAAGCTTCATCTGTGCAATTTTATTTTGATATGCTGATTGAGAAATGTGTTAAATCACAAATTTAAAAAATGCATAGAAAATCACTTCTCTTTTGCTATCCATTTGGTATCACCAGTGTGTAAAAAGTAAAAATATAATTGTTTTACATGTATAATGACTAATAATTTTCAAACCAAAGAAAATGCTCTCTCTTTCTGGTAATGTACATTGATAGATAAGAAAATATGAATCTTTAAAGTAGAATAGCAGAATATCCATAGTTATGCTTTGCTATATTTATTAGAAGTCTGACAA